CTTTCGAGTACTTATCATCTTGGAGGGATCTTGACTCGGTTCATATCAAACATTATTTCATAATAAAATTGGTTAAAAAAGGATCTATTGGATGTATATCCATGTGATTCCTGAGTGTTTAGATACAAGTTGAATAGCTTGCCTTTCAAATACTCGTCTTCCACCTAAAAACAACTTCAACCAATTAAACCTATCTTTTTTGCCCAAGCGCGACCAAAAACTTTTCATAAATGAATGATGATTTATTCATTCTAACAAGATACAAACAAAGCTTCAGCCTCCCACGCACGAGTAACAGGTAACATTTAGCCGCTATAATGTGACCTAAACATCATTCACTAAAATTAACTTATAAACAATTATTTGCTACTAAGAACTACGTAGCTTTGAGTTTCCCAATGCATCTGGAGATACGTAGGAGCGAGATTCAATGTATCGTTAAGAACCCTACTAAAAAACCTAGTTTTCCCCCTTTATTTGATCATATAAATATCCCAAAATAATTAGAAGAAATCAAATAATGTAAGCTAACACTCTTATTTGCAATACTAATTAAACGATTCTCGTTGAGTATAACAGATGTTTGGGGTGCTAATACCTTCCTCGCACATAATCGACTTCTGAACCTGAATTTGGTTATAATGACCATATTTTTGTTCTTTTAGAATTTTATTAATGTTTTCCATTTCTAAAATAAACTTCGGTGGCGACTCTGTTTTATTTCGAGCGTTCGTTTGCTCAGGTATTTTTCACACTGCGACAGTGACTACCATCTTCTCCTCTTGAATCATAGGGAGGAGGGTTATGGGCTTGAGAAAGATGATGCTTTGGTGATCCAGAGGCCTTCTTGTGATATGGTGTGGTGTTGCCGAGAATCGTGTTAGGCGTAGACCCAAGGTTGCCTCGTTGTAATACCTCCAATTGTGTAGCAGCTTATAACAAAGTTTTTTGCTGATTTTTTTCTACATTTAAGTGTCTCTATTTTAGAAGGTGTGTGCTCTACTACTACACTAGATTATAGATGCTTGTTATAAGTTTGTTTGCTCTTTGCATTCTGAGTGTGGCTTGAAGTTGTTGAAGATTCAAAACAATCTGGCTCAAATACTTATATTTTCAATTGAGGTTATTTAGACATTTGTCCTTTGATTATTTATTGAAAAGACTAGAACGATGAAGAACCTAAAAAGTTCCTCAGCCAATCGATGGAGGAACCAAAATATGAGAAAATGAATTGATTTAGATATTATTAAAACTGGACCTCATTCCCCAACTGAAGGAGGAGAACCTTTATGAGTGGAGACAACGATCTTCATTGCGATGAGAGACCAATTGAATTGATTTAGAAGCTATCCTTATTGGTTGAGACACTTCATAGTGATTTGATCGGTTAACAAGAACGGTTGTAACGGGGAAATGAATTATATATGAGGAGTTCGTTGTGGATTTTTGTGAGAATCAAGAAACGATTCTCACACACAACGTCATTATTCTGCGGTGGAACACAAATTGATGAGATGTTGATGAAAGTCGCCATAAAAAGCTCTCTGATACAACACTACAATTCAACGAGGTTAGCGAGGTGTAACTTGCAAGAATGAATGAAATTATGCTCGCATGGTGTGTGTGATCACGTTTATATATGACTGGAGTTTAAATTCCCCTTGTGAACGTGACTTGGAATACAGAATATCGTTGGATTGATTCCAACGATTGTGATGAACATGGTGTGAGTTCCGATGTACATCCTCTTAGCGAGGATTTACCTGTTCTTCATCTTTAAGTAGACGAAATTTTGAATTATTTCTTCAAATTGAATTAGATTTACTGAACTGTTTGATTGGTCCAAAATAAATATATTTTTTAAAATTTATTTCTAAATAAAGGATAAATATAAAAAATCTTGTATCATAAGAATTGAATCGGAAAAAAAAATATTTTATAGAGAAAAAAAAAACTAAAACGCCTAAATGTTAGAGGCAAAAAATACTTGAACTCAATTATTATTTATGTATTTTGTCAAATATTTATCTGTCCATGTTTTGTATCTTAGTGAACAATTCAAGTAGACTATTGTTTTTATGTAACTTTTGGTACGAGTGTATGTTATTAGAAAAATATGCACTAATATTTGGGTCAAGTCTATTTAAATTTATATTGTATCTCTCCGTATTAGTAATATGGAACATTCAAATTAAATTGATTTGAGTACACCTATAAATGCTTGAATCTATTTTTCTATCATTAGTGCAAATATAAACCAATAATAGTGACACCATTAGAGGCCAATCAGAAGAAAAATATCTATAATTGGTCACAAACTTTACCATAAACATAAAAACATTGATAAAGAAAACACATCCTTATTATTAGACCAGGTGTTTAATTTGAGCAACTATATAGGCTACAATAAGTGTATGGCCCATGTGAAAAGTAAATATTGCATGTGACTGGTCTGTCTTTGAAACGGAAACCTCAGAAGGATTTTGAAGTTCAAAAAATGGAATATTTATTTGAGGAACCAAGATTGGGACAATTCAAGCCTTTGTTATTATTATTTGTCGTAACCATGTGATTGTATCTGTCACTCATTACTGTTTTAGTTGAAGGAATTATGCTAGTTTCTATAGCTTTTGATAAGAACTAAACTCATTGCTTTAGGTAATGTACCCTTCAAAGCTACTAGTCCTTTACATTACATTACAATGTAAGAAGTTTCTTATCAATGAGAGTGTCCTTTTCACTTTCAACAACTGTAACAAGAGTAATAGTTCTTGTCTCAATTGCTTGAATTTGTCATGCCAAAAAACTATGGGAATTTATTTTCTCCACCTAATAGGTTTTTACGAAATTTTTAGTAATGTATATTCGAAGTTATCAAATTTCAATTTTTTATAAGTTTGTTCGGATATGCAATCCGAAATAGTCTAATAATTAAATATTAGATTATTTCGAATATGAATATCCGAAAAAATCTATAAAAATTTGAAATTTAATGACTTCGAACGTGCATATTCGAAATAAATCAATATTTCAAATTTATTTTGATTTTAGTTTGATTTTTATTCTTATGAGATATATATCTATTTAATATAGAAGATCTATATAATTTATAAATTATTCATTATTGTTTTTTACAAAAATCTATTCATTTAATATTAAATATCATATTGTAATATTATTAATTATTAATAACATTCAACTTTTGATTATAATATAAATATTTTTAATATAATAAATTTTTAATTACAACATAATAATTAATTATCAATTCTAAAATAAAAACTAAAAAATATCATCTAAATTAAATTTAACTTTTAAAATTATAATTAAAAAATATTTTTTATCAAAAATTATTTATAATTTTAAATAAATAATTAAAAGACAATTACATTTCACCATTATAATTAAAATTTTAATTATTACATTTATTATTTAATTTTATATTATAAATTTATTTTAATTTTTAATTTTTAATTATAAATTTAAGTTATTTTTTATTAATAAAAATTCAATTTAATTATATTATAATTATATTATAAATAAATATTTTTTCAAAATAAAATTAAAATAAATTTTAGATATCGAGTGATTTCGAATATACATATTTAAAATTATCCAATTTAAATTTTTTAAGAGTTATTTTAAATATACATATTGAAAGTCATCTGATATCTCAAATTATAAGGTATATTCAAAAGTGCACACTCAAAGAGTATTTTTGAATTTTCTGAAGTAATAATCATCACTATCAAATATAAAAAAAAATTCCTAAAACTATAAAAAGACAAGTTAATTGAAAATTGAGGTTTAGTATTATTTTTTTGTCTGAATGTTAACCTTGGTATTCATTTCTATTCTTCAACTTTAAAAAAATCATATTCATCCTTTTAACTATTCAAAATGTATTAGGTTATGGATAGCAAATGGGTTTGGCTCATCGAACACTCATTTTATAGTATTCTTTAGGATGAATTAAAGTCCTTTTAACTATTCAAAATGTATTAGGTTATGGATAGCAAATGGGTTTGGCTCATCGAACACTCATTTTATAGTATTCTTTAGGATGAATTAAAGTTTTAAATTAGCACCTTCAAATGTATTTTTTTAGAATGAATTAAAGTTTTAGATCAACCTTCTCTAATGTGTCTATCCTGCTCTATTTTTTATTTTTTATGAGTTCTTGCAGACACGAACACTAACATAAACTAACACCCTCAAATATATTTTTTTTAGGATGAATTAAAATTTTAGATCAACACTCTCTAATGTGTCTTTTTTACTCTATTTTTTACGAGTTACACAAACATTAAGATAAACACAAACATTAAGATAAACTAACACCCTTAAATATATTTTTTTATACTAACACCCTTAAATATTTTTTTTTAGAATAAATTAAAGTTTTAAATAAGTACGGATCCAACATACTCGTTTGCCAACCCTCCATATTAATTTTTTTCATCTAATTAACAATGAATTTGACTATCAATAGGTTTTTTTTTGTCGATAATCAAACAACAAGAACTAACATACTAACATAGTACGTTTTGGTTAAATGACCAATATGGACTTTTTTTTTTAGTTAGCATACCAGACAGAAAAAAAATATTAAACCTTGAATTGAAGTCTTAAACATGAAATTAGTACTGCAGTTCTTTTGAATAGTTACCAAGAAGACTATACACATTGGAACTTCTAATACAATATGAATTGGAAAAAATTTCTATGGCACCTTTTGTAATGGATGCTACTAAACAATGAAACAATGAAAATGGAGGAAGGCCGCAACATGTTAAAAGAAGCACAACCCAATTACAATATGCTTAACAATAATAATAATAATATAGAATCAATCAATCAATCAGAGGCTTCTACTAATATTTCCATGTTAAAAAATTCAACTAATTGAAAGGTTGCAGCTTCTTCCCAAGGACACAATGTTGCAGCAGCAGAAGTTCCAATCCAATTTGTGCAGATGCAGAAAAAAAAAGCTCTTATATCTATGCACCATTCTTTGCAGAGTCAGCATGGTGTGCATGACCATCTTCCAGAATCTTGCCATTTGCTTGAGTTCTCTGTCTCTAAACAATGTGACAATATAACAATGTTATGTCCATATCATAACACATAAAGACAATGACTTGACTACGAAAATAAGAATATGATAACATTTTAGTCCCTTAAACGTAATCGCAAGTGTCAGTGTTAGTGTAGATTTCGGACATCTACGCTGGCTCAAACACATTTTTTTCAGAAGTGTCGGTGCTACAGTGATCTTTACAGACAAGTAGATAGATTGTTATTATTATTATTTATACCCAATCTGAAGGGTCAACAGAATTCCCATTTAACAACTTGTGATTCTCTTCTTTGTTTCTGCCATCTTTGTTGTCTTTGGTGCTTAATGGTAGCAACAGTGTTGCAGCTGTCCTGTCTGGCATTTCTGTTGTTGTGGAATAAATATGTTAGCACACAATTGCAAATAGTAAATGACATAAACATGGTATAATTATTATGTACAACAAACCTTGTAATTTCTTCTCAATAAAAAACACCACCAAATTAACAGTATACCTGTCAGGTTCAAAGTAATGAGTTAAAATATAAAGACAAAGGACATGGACCACAGTTTTAACCTTCAAATTTTAGGGTTTAGGTAATTTGTTCATGAAATTAATGAAACTCATGCAGGCTTGAGACTTGAGAGTGTGCTCCTCGCAAAGTCTCAAATTTGAATTCTGCTAGGTGCAAACAATTCTTGTGTTGGACCAATCCATTCAGAGCTTTGCTCAGGTAAATGGGGCCCAGCTAGTGGACGGTGGGATTGATTCCCTTAGATTAGTCGGTCTAATAGCTGGATACCAAGCTTTTAAAGAAAAAAATGAAACTCAAATGATTAGCTGAACAATGGATCATTGCAAATTCTCATCTTGATCGCATTAATCCATTTGTATCAAAATTGTCCCGAAATTGTCTTGGAGAGACTAGGATCGATGATTTTCAACTTCATTGATCATTTTGGAATTTGGTAATTTTAGAAAACCAATTTGTTTGACCTTAACAAGTTCAAGGACAAAATTGGCGATAAACTCGGAATTTCCCAAAACAAATCTTGTAATGTTCCTTACCAGGCAACAACTACGTCAACTGTATAATGTTTGCGAGATGCTACTATCAAAAAGCTCTGAATGATGGTAAGAGCCCATCCTATTTGCTTTACGCACCTGCCGATGTTAAAAAATAATCACGGTAAGTCGTGATTGAACAAGGAATCAAACAAAACAAGGATCGTCGCGATTATATCATTAGAAAAATTTAAACCTTGAATGAAAATTATGCAAAACCAAAAGAAACTTTCAAGTTAATTTACCTTTTCGTGCCATATCTCTGGTATGTGTTAACAAAGACTAAAGTAAAGATCATGTGTGATGAAAATATCAAATCACCACATCCATATATCACGCCATGAGGAACTGCAGAGAAGGAAAACAAAATGAGCACCAATACAACAAAAAAGGCATTGAAGGTAGACGACTCAAAAACAAAAGTATACTAACAATTAATCAAGAGCACTTCAGCCACGCTTTTCGGACGAGGCAACGTTGCTAGTGGAGATCCCTGCATAATACAAGTAGTCATGTATTATACTCGAAGAAAATCAACAGTTAAGCCACAATTGATTGACAAGAAGGTAAACTATATACCTCGCGGCAATGGTAGTTTGGACCAGGAAGTTGCGTGGAATAAAACGTCACTATGCGAAGAGCTTGAGCAGCCTGCAGTCAACAACAGAGGAGCCCGACTTTAAGAAGCAGTCGCGTATTGCATAATCAACACAAATTGTAATTCAATTTATAACACAGTACTCACGAGTCGAGTTTAAGTAGTTTTTATAAACACTTACAACTAAGAAAGATAGAACCCTGCACCATATTAGAACTGTGTAGATCTTTTTGGTCTTGAATATGAAAGGATGGAAAGTCCACTACAAACGCACAAATTTCAAACAATATTAACAAGACTCGAATAAAACTACGAAACTTCATTGAAGCAAGTGAACACCAGTTGAGAATTCTTACAAGGAAAAACGATAAAAAGATAATTGTAAACAAAGATTCACTAATGTAAGCTCTTTCTTGGCCAAGCTCCTGTCAAAGCCACAAACATCAAAATCAAAACACATTCATATGAAAGACATTGTTTACAAAAGAGAAAGCCATGAAAATAACAAACCGGAAGAAGGAAGAATCCAAGATCCTGTAATGTAGGGCCAGGCCTATGTAAATAATGAACTCCTCTTGCAGCCAAACCATGAATATACTGTATAGAAAAACAGTTCCAATTTTGATTTAGATTTCATTGTTACATTAAAAATAAAAACCATGTCAACTTAAACACACAAACTTTGTTCCTGATATAGAAAGTTAGAAACATCAAAAGTTGCCAAGTAAAATGAGAGAAAATGAAAAACTTTTTGTAACGTTCAAGTAACGTTCTCACACCCAAATATGAAAAACTACTTTAATAACTACTTTAATATCAAAACACAGAAAAGAAACACAAAAGAATCTCTCCATTCCTTTTCACAAAAGGGTAACCAAAAATCATCAAAGTACAATTCAATGAAACATTTCATATAAATTTGATCAAAATATGTATAATAAAAACCTGAAAAACTAAACCAGCGAGAAGATACTTCCAATTCTCCACAAGAAGGTTGATTTCTGTGGTTGTCTCTGCACAAACTCTCTTCCATATCTACAAATCCACCATACAAAAACACATATTATTAAAAATGAAAACAAAAACATCCTAAAAATTATTGTATATAAAAAAAGACAAGAACCTTGGAAGCCTCACGACCAATGTAAAGTGACATGTTTTTCTTGTAATTAAAGATTGTTATTGAAGAAGTTGTTATTGATGAAGATGTTGTTGTTGATGTTGTTGATGATGATGTATGAACCGAGTAACGACCACCTTCCATAATACTTCAAAAAACAACACATAAGGCCAACATCATTGTTACCCTTATAAACAAACCAACAACAATCGCATCAAAAACCAAAACCCAGATGAAAAATAATTCGCTTTCCACTTTCCTACTAATAAAAATCGAATCTTTATACAGAAAAACCGAGACCCACAAAGCAAAATCACCCAAAAAAAACAAAAATTGTGAAGAACAGAAGAGGATCTGAGGAGAAAAAGTGAAACCCAGATGGAGAGAAAATGAGATGATAGGAAAATGCAAGGGATAAAATTGGGAAAAAGGGTTTTGTCTCTCTTGTGTTTCTGGGTACTTTCTCTCTCTGAATTCTCTTTGGTTTCTCGGTTTGGTCTGACTGCAATGCACGCGAGTTGAACACGGAGGAGACAGTTGAGAAGAGGAGGAGAATAAACACTATATATACAACGAAACCAACTTGCTTTTTTTATATTCATTTTTTTATAATTAAGAAAAAGAGGATTAAAATTGAGTTTGGGTTTTGAATTTTTTACATCGTGATTGTGATTTTTTTAATAGGAACACGAAAAAGAAAGGAACGTGGGATTAGGGGGTTACAAAGGCCAATAATACAACTATTCATTCATGTTTATTCATCAAAAAATAATATTCCTTCCAATCATAATTATTTTTATATATAATAAGAAAGTTAGTTAATTATAATTAATTTTCTTGATTTCATATAAATCAAAATAAATTTTATTTAATAAGAAAGTTAGCGATACCACAATGTTTGAACAACCGTTGCGAGGTAAGAGATGGTTGTATGTAAGACGTGTATCACCACAGTCGCGCGTCTATGGTTGAAGTCAAGTAGCGCCCGTCATACCACAGCGGTTGTAGCTGGGAATTGTTGTGATATATATTTAGGTCATGGATTTGAAACTCAATAGTTACAATTTATTGGGAATATTGTTATAATTTCACCATGGTTAGAGTTGATAACTGTTGTGAAAAGTATCCTGAATTTATTATAAAATATGTAAATTACTTATTTTTCCTACATCTCATTAAACATATACAACCATTAAAATTGATGTAGCAGATAATAATTTTAAATTTTAAATCATTCCTGAAAAAACAACTTAAGCAAACCACAATTTTCAAATTGCATTCAAATTATAATTCATCTCTTGCTACTTAACACGTAGTATTTGGTTCAATGACCCAAGTTCTTCAAAGCAACGGTTTATTCCTAGTTTATTTTGCAAAGCAATAATATGTTGACTATTTCAGAATCATCATCACCGCTATCATCATCATTATTTTAATCGATGGTGATTATTATTATGATAGCGATGAAGATGATTCGAAATATCTCAACAAATTTGATGTTTTGCAATATAAATTTATAGAGAATAAATTGTTGCTTTTCAAAGAACTTGAGGCAATAAACCAAGTTCTACGTGTTAAAATGTGATAGATATATGAATTACAAGATGCATGTAATTCAAAAAAGTATTGAATGATCTAAGTTGCATTTCAAATATAACTTAATTTTTAAATTATTATTTTCTAGTCACTTTAAATGAGTGTATGCTCAATGAATGGTTATTGAAACAAACAATCTATATTCATTATAATAAACTCAACAACGACGACAACAAAATTTATCAAAAACAACTTAGACCTATAAACAACAACACAAACTATTTATGAACAACAACAACATACACCAACAACGACAAGAACATACATTTTATTGAAAAGTTTTGTGGAATCATCTAAAGTAGATATGAACAAACCATTTGTGTTGCTATGAAGAAAAAATATAAGGCTGAGAAAGCTGCCAAAATAACTTCATACTTCTTATATTGCTTCTCCATAGCAACATAAATGGTTTCAGCTTTCGACATAGAAAACCCTTCAAAATGCAAACATGTATTGAAAACATAAGCTATAATCCTCGTTTAAGGTATGAAAATATATCAAAAATTATTTAACCTGTGTTGAAAACAAAAGCTATAAGCTATAACCTGTGTTAACATAATCTAAACATAAATGAAAACATAATCCAAAAAGGTATAAAAAAACTCGTTTAAAGAAGAACTACTTTCATACATGAAAAAGATATGAAAACGTAAGAAGATTAATGGAGATATTAACTTTTAGTTTGAAGTTAGTATTCAATATGAGTTCACTGCTCTTTGAAGATATAGATGTTAGGATTTTGTTTTGAGGAAAAAGGAAGAAAATGTATCAGTAACATGGAAGAGAGATTATGAAGATGAACTTGACTAGCTTTAAGTTTTGAAGATTCTATTGAGGATGAGTTCGTTAGATATGGAAGAGGGCGTAGTTAGGATTTTGTTAAGAGACTAGCGACTATTCTAACGGAAATATTGATAACCTCGCTTATATATATATATATATATATATATATATATATATATATATATATATATATATATATATATATATATATATATATATATATATATATATATATATATATATATATATATATATATATATATATATATATATATATATATATATATATATATATATATATATATATATATATATATATATATATATATATATATATATATATATATATATATATATATATATATTGTTCTCGACTAGGCCTGCGCTTAGTCTGTCATTGGGCAAGGCCCAGCCCAATGCTGCAAGAATGGCTTAACAACCCATTGTGGACTGGAGTTTCACTTGGTCCTCCGTCGGGCAAGACCAGCCCAACACTACTACGAGGAAGGCCTACTACAGTAGCCCAAATTGCCATGTCCGTCGGGGACGTCTCCCCCACATATACGTCGAGGACGTCTTCTTCACGTGCTCGTCGAAGACGCCTCCTCCACGTGCCCACCTAGGGTACATGGGCAACATTCCTTCGAATATCAGGAGCCATCCTGCTTCCGAAAAGAACGAGTCTTCACCCTCCGAGAATCACGGGGCAGTTAAACAGGATTGATACCATGAATTAGTCTCCTTTACCCATGTAAGATCCTGGCAGTCTCCATTATGAGTCTGGCCATCCAGCCCAAATGGAGACCTCGGCCCAATACTTGGGGCTATAAATACCCTCTTTCACTAGAGGGTCGGGTACACATTATTCTACTCACTTTATACTTACACTTTGCTTTAAATCTTACTTTGCCATCTGAGTGTCTTGTAGCTACCCCCTCATTCAGTTCAACAACCACAAAAGTACAAGTGTTGCAAGCAACTGAAGATCCATTCTGATCAAGTACGATCAGTAGCGCCGTCTGTGGGAACATTTTGCTTCCATGTCTTCTTATAACTCAGGACCAAAGAAAAATCTTTTTAAACCTTTTGATCAGCATGGTTATCCAGCACAACAACGGTAATGACGACAAGACCAATCCCCTCGCCATTAACAACAATGAGACAGGTGGTCACGAGCATGACCTTCAGGACAAAATGACTGCCTCCTTCTCATATTGCGAGCATCCACTCGACATCCTCCAGCAAATTGAGGAAACTATAGCGTATCAGGAAATCCATGTGCCGCCAAATGTTGATTCTATCACTGTGGCTCTGTTCGCAATTATCAATCATACAAATTATCTAATTTCCCAGTAAGGCGAACGCATTGGAATGCTGGAGAAGGGCAGGAGATCCCGCTCCCCTACAAGAAGACGTTAGGGACCTGAATCTCGCAGCCCCTCCCCGTGATGACGAGATACCCATCCTCCCCCGCAGAGACATCAATGGGATGAATCCCATAGCCTTTCTCCTTGTCGAATCGGGTGAGGCCCTCGACTGGAGAGACCCCAACCTGAAGTCGTCAAGAAGCACAATTGCACTCCAGCACACAAAGAACGAAGGTTCCAAGTTCCCAAGAGGAACAAGGCTGGATGGCATCCAGAGAAACACAAGAGTCGACAAAAAAATTCACCACGCCGTAAGGGCCCTCGATTCGACTCCTCCCTGTCGCACTCCCCTGACCAAAGTTATGAAGACGACCCCTGCGATCTGTTGCACCCCAAAATTTGCCCTCCCATATTCTCCAAGATTTGTCAAGCCAAATCACAAAATTCCCCAAGGGTTGTGCAGCTCAACAGCTTCCCATACAGTCAAAACTAGGGTTTAGGTTCTGATCAAGAAAATGAAGTGTTCAAAGGCCCAATCAAGTCTCACATGCCTACAAAGGTGGTCAAGTATCCTCATGTCAAGTTTCAAGGCATTCAGCTCAAAATTGCACAGTCAAAACCCTAGATTGCACTACAGTCAACTGTAGGGGCAAAATGGTCATTTGGCAGTCAAAAGTTCAAATTTTTGGTCAACATATCATTTTGAAGCCACAAACATCATTTGATCAATGCTTGATCATGATTCTCAAAATTTGGCTCAGAAATCATCAAAGATGCAAAAGTTGCTATATTTGGACAGCTGAAAAAGTCAACTGAAATTGACCAGGGCATAACTTTCACACGGATTATCAGAAAAATTCCATCCAAAGCTCATTTTGAAGAGAAAGACATTTCCTACAACTCATCTTCATACTTCAAGTCCAAGAAATGCTCTCACAAAAAGTTATCAATTTCAACATTATAGGTCATTTTCAAAAGTCAACAAAAAGGGACTTTAAGTCAAAGGCCATAACTTGAGATTGGTAAATCAAAATGACATGGGACCAAAGGCATTGGTTAAAGGACTCAAAGACCTTTCCAAAATGTCCAAGAACATGTGAAAATCTTAAAAATTGAGCAAGTTATGCCTTGTGGAAGTTGGGAAATTTTTGGGAATTTTGAAAAGTCAACAATGGTTCAAATGACCTAAAAATGCAAATGGGCCCATTTTTCTTTCAAGTTTCTTCATGCCAAGCCTATGCACGACCATTAGGCCCAAAGGGAAGTATTTTCTCATTTTTTAATTATTTATTTGAATTTATATTAATATTAATTCATTTAAATTATTTAAATATATAGAAAATATCTAACTTGACCTAATGAATCTTTTTGTACACATTTTAGGCTCAATAATTCGTGCTTAAGCCAATTTGGAAAGATTTGGAGCATTGGGATATGATTTGTGCAAAAACAACATGAAAAAAGATGTGAAAAGATTCTTAACAAAATCAAATATCCAAACAATGAATGCCTTGGATTTTGTCAAGTTTTGTTGACCTAAAAGCCTCCATACATATTCAGAAGCACAACCCTAAGCCAAGAGGACTCTCAGCTGCGCTCAGAAGCAATATACAAACTTAGAAAATTGCTTGAAAAACTCAAAACTGAAATCAACTCTAGAGGTCGATTCAAGCCCTAATCTTGATCTCATTAGCTTCCTTGGGTAACTCTGAACGTGTGCCAATCCCTAACATCAATTCAAACGCAAAGAATCGGTACATTGAGCGTGAACTGCATCCAGAAAATTGCCTAATCGTATTTTGGTTTTGAAGCATGATCATTGCATTTTAATTGTATATTCATGTTCCTTACAAAGTTTTAGAACTAACCATTATATTTAATTGGATTTTCATGCTGTATACAAGGTTTTGCCATGTCCATATTCTAGGGTT